ACCCCCCTTTTTTTTAAAAGGGGGGGCGTTTTGGGGGGGGGCCCCCCCCCGGGGGAAACAACGCCCCCCCTCGGCCCCGGGGAAAAAGGGGGGGAGAGAGGGAGGGGGGGGGGCAAAGGGGGGGGCCCCCTTGCCGGGGGGGGTGGGGGGGGGGGGTACGCATGTAAACGCGTGCCCTAGTGCCGTAGTCGGTAGGCCATTGAGGGCGGAACGATGTTCGTCGGCCCATGCTTCGTTTCAAAAGGATTATTACCATTGCCTAAACATCCGTTTTGAGGCAGAGGAGCGTTCCTTCTCGTCTTGAACACACCGCAGCGCTCGTCCTATTTTCGACCATAATTTCCGGGGGGTGTCTTAGCTCTGTGGTGATGCTTACCCGTAGTTTAGAGACGATACACTTCGCTTTGTACTGTAGGTTGCGTAAGATATCGCACCCCCTGGGCCGATTTTCAGATCTCGATTAACCGGCAGGAAAAGCAGCGGTAGTGCCGAAAATGGCGGCGTTAGAATCGCTCCGTCGAGAGCTTTCCGAAAACGCACCATTTGATTTCGGCATCCTCTTCGTCGTGGAGTAATCAGGCGTTGAAAATGAGTCCAGGGGGTGTCGTATCTAATGCAACCTACGTTATTCGGTTTTCTGTGAGGATGTATTAAGGTGTTTGCCCATGTGTTTCGCGTGTGTGCAGGAGGAGATCCACGAGCTGGTGGACCAGGAGGCGAGGGTGGATCAGCTCATCGCCCACGTCAAGGGGCAGCTCAAGAAGCTGGTGAGATTGCGAGAGGAAGGGAGGGAGGAAGATAACGAGTGTAGTTCGTTTGGTTACCTCAGGTTCAGAAAATTATATAGAAGAAGAGAGAGAGAAAAAGAGAGCTAGACAAGAGAGATCGAGACAGATTGAGACAGAGAGACAGAGACAGAGACAGACAGACAGACGGACAGACAGACAGACACATGGAGCGAGAAAGTGTAGCAGAGGCGGAGACAAAGCCGGCTGACTGGGGATGTTGGAATGTTGTGAAAACCAGGGGCAGGCGTGACAGCCAGCCGGTAGGAAGCGGTAGCCAAGAGATGGGAGGGAGGAGATGGTTTGAGCCTGTAGCTTTGTGCTTGCAAAATCGGTTGTCGTGCTGTGAGTTCTCCAGCAAGATCTTTTATCATCGTTCACCAGAACATGAGTTTCACCTCTCTCGTTGTGCGGTGTGTCGGGATTGTTTCCCCCCCTCTCCACTGCCGAGTGTTGGCGGTGTTGGCGGTATGGCGTAGTGGGCGCTAGAGCCCGTCCACACTATTATATTATAGTACACATGCTCCGCTGTGTTTTTTCTTCTCGCGCCTTTGTAGCAGAGGGAGGTCTTGTTCGCTCCCAGCAGCTGCGCCCGTCACCCCCCCCATTACCCTGACCCCACCCACCCCCTCCAACCCACCCCTTGTCCTCCCGTAATTTTCATGTGTTGGTCGCACTTGTTAGCCGACCGAATCGAACAAGCCTTCTGGCGATATGTTCCTCCACCAGCAAGACATCCGCGGGTTGCCGTGCTACAAGAAGAACACTGTGATGGCGATACGCGCGCCAGCGGGAACCACTCTGGAGGTGCGTTTCATCATCATCATCATCATCATCATCATCATCGGTGTTGTTGGTGTTGTCTAATTTTTGGCAGGACCAGCTGACGACGTTTTCCGGTAGAGCTAAATTATGTTCTTATTGTTGTTGTTGTTCTTGCTGGTACTTGTGGTTGTTGCTGTTGTTTCCGTTGTTGTTTTCTAATTATCGATCTGTTAGATGACAATTACGTATGTTATTTGTTGAGACAACCCCGCGCTTTTTCATGACTGTGATGTTCGAATTGCTCCCCCCCCGCCCCCACCCCGCAATCTTGCTGTGTGTACCACCGAACACCACTACGCAAACCCCAACCCCCAAGGTGCCCGATCCTGACGAGGGCATGCCGCACGGGGAGCGGCGGTATCAGATTTACCTCAAGAGCCCGTCGGGTCCGATCGACGTCTACGTCGTTAGCCAGGTGGGAACACACGCGACAACACATTGAATCCTGTGGTACACACGATGTTGGCATGTCGGGCATGAATTTTTCGTGTCACGGGATCCGGATACATGCGATCCACCATAGCCTACCTGCGAGCTACGATTGAGGGTTCCACAGGAGAGTTTGTCTGCGGTGTATCCCTCAAATGTATTACGGCGAGTGTGTACAGTACGGCAGGGTAGATGTCCAGGCGCCCGTCGACGGCTGTATCGCAGATTTTTAGAACTATTTACCTCAATTTTTTCGTGACATGGTTTCTTGAAGGTTGACGAACGAATGGAGCCGGCCGTCGATAGTTGCGTCGCAGATTTTTTTTACTTGTTCGCCTGGACTCTTTAGCTTTCTAATTTGTTGGAACATTTTTCTCTTGGAAGGTTGACGAACGAATCGAGCCGGGCCCGGAAGACGAGGACGGCGATGTGGAGGAGGAGGCAGGGGGGAATGGCGAAGGAGGCGGCGGCGGCGGCGGCGGCGGGACACGAGCAGATAATAACCACCGCCGACACCAAACCGAAGAACAGAAGCCCCAACCCCACCAGGAGAACCAGGCTCGCAAGCAGAAGCAGAACCCCCGATCAGCTAGAGCGCACGACCCGTCGGGTTTCCACAGAGGTCAGGAAGACCCACGGGCTAGACATAGCCGGTTACAAAGGCAGCAGCAACAGCGGCAGGAGGGAAGCAGGGGGCGGGGGGAGGGGGTCGATGTGGCAGGTCGGCATCCCCCCCCCGCCGGACAGCAAACGCCGGGTAGGTTAGGAGGGGCGGGAAGCACGGCAGCGGCGGCGGCGGCGGCAGCGGCAGCGGCAGTAGCGGCAGCAGCAACGGTTGGGGGAACCACGCCAGCTAGAGGGGGAGCGGGCGCGGAGTACCCTGCGCTCACTCAGGGAGAGCTGTCTTCCCCCCCCCCCGGAGGATATCGAGGTCTCATGTTCCCGACAAGCGCGCGGCAGGTAATCCAAGCAGGGTGGGGAAAGCTAATGTAGAGTGGGTGGTACGGGGGGGGGTGCATGTTTTGTTGCCCCCTTGGCTGGAGTTGGTTTGGTGCGAGAGGGGGCTTAGCACCGAAGCGGAGATAGTCCACATGCGGAGTTCTTGTTGGCCTCGAACCCGTGTGAACGAGCAGCTTGCGTTGCCTGCAAGGCGCTCAGCTTGTGTTGCCTGCAAGGCGCTTCGTCGTATGCGTGAAGTCGTGTTCTTGCTTGTCTGCTAGGTGCGTTGTCACTCAGAGAGTTGTCTTGCCGCAGCTCGTTGAAACTCGTTTTTTTGTCTGGGGACGCCATAGCCGTTTTCTTGGTGGTGTTCGTGTTTTTTGGTTGTTCCATACCTTGCCCTGCCGTATCGTCTACTAGTGGGACGTTTACGTGGAGCAAGAAACGTCAAGACGAGGTGCATGATGTCGTTATTTAGTGTTCTTCCGTCAGGCGTATTGCAGCCTATCGAGCATGGAAGCTCCCAATTGCCAGAACCTCCCGTTCACCAGCGAACAATTTCCCTTGTCCTGGAATATGCCGTCTACAGCATCGGTGAAGAATAGGAACCAACATATAACGATGATGCATGGTGGAAGACTTAACAATCAACAACAGTATCGTTTGCGGTAGCACCTTTGCACTCTTTGCTTCGCCCTGTCCCTCAAATACTGCCTCCTATTGCCAAGTTGAAAATACGTTGGTATCCCCCCGCCCGCGCTCCGACTTGACACTTTTATCTTGAATGGGCTTTCGCACGTTGTCCGATGCGATGGCGCACGTAGTCAGTCTGTCCCCCTCTAACTGCTTGTTTGTCTGACATCACCCTCATGGGCAGCAGTGATGGCGTAGGTAATCAACCAGTCACCCCCCTTTCTTGTTTGTCCGATCTCACCCTCATTGGTAGTCACCGGGGCCCGGTCTCGGCGTCGGATTGGGGCTGGGCTTGACACCGCTCATGACGAAGCTATCCCCGTGCAAGGTATGCGTGCGCATACGTACACGTGCGTGGCTGGGTCGCCGGAGAGCAAGCGCGCGCTTGGGGGGGGGGGGGGGGGGGTAGTTGTTCTCGGAACGTGATTGTCATCGACGGGCAACCTCATCGGGGTCTAGGAAGTCTTCCCCGCTGATGTCGAAATTGATTCTATTGTGCACGTGGCGACCATGATCAAATTTGGCCTTGCGGAACGGTAGTCATTGGACAGTTTCAGGACGGAGTGCGGGCGATGGAGCTTAAGCTTGGTCGTCGCCAAAAAAAAATTGAACGTGTCTCGCGTCGCGTGTTATTTATCCTCGAACAACCGCACGCTGCCGCTGCAGTGGCACCCTCCCTCGTCGTCAAACGTGGTTCTCTGCGCGGAATATTTACTCGAGAAATACCATATGGAAGGTATTCTACATGCTGTTGCACGTAAAACTACGCTTGTTGATCGGTGTCACGGGCCCTTTACTTGGCGGTGTTGTATGGCATTCACGTGCGCAAGTTTTTCATGGACTCCCCTTCCTGTTGTGTGATTTTTTGTGCCTAACATTTCCCCTGTTTCTTCTGTCCCCACCACTGTACCCCCCCCCCCCCCCCCCGCGTGCCACTGCCTGCTCTGTGAACCGCGTACTGCCTTGCGGATCGGATGGAATTCTTCAACCCGGTTGATGTGGCCGTTACACGCTATCACGGGACGTCTGAAAACTCGATACACGGGGACTCCGAAAAAAACAGCCCGAGCCCGACTTCTCGTACAACATGTTCGACCACGGCCTGACGGAGCTTTTTGTCGGGGCCAGCGGCGGCGTGCAAGCCCCCGGGGGAAACATGCAAGGGGACGACCTGCAGCAGGTGCGTTAGTGCTGGCGTACTTTCGAAATCCATCTGCCTAAAACGTATTTTTTGTCATTCAGAGTTTCCGAACAATAGCGAGGCTACAATTCGACCGTTGCATCGATTAACCCCAGTGTATCTGTACGTTAGATGGGTTACCTTTTTGGTTTTCGTGACTGCTGTGGTATTCCCGTGTACCTGGTGGTTGGCAGTAGACGGCGCAGGGGGCGGTATATCTTGATTCGAATAGCAGTGTGGTCGAAAGATATTTCTTGTGGTTTGCACTCTTGTCCAGGAATTTACCTCAGCTGTATCCTGGGACGCATTTCGAACAGCATTATTGCTGTGAAGCCATTTACCCGTGTATGTATTTCACACGACAATATATGCACGATAGATACCACACAAACACCCGGGGGTGATATTTTTGATGCTCAACCAGTTTGAGGATTAAAACGTAGACCCCATTTTTTTAAGCGCCAAGAATGTCGTCACCGGGTGTGTTATCTTTTGGATGCGGTGGCATACGGTAGACACATGCTGTAGTCTGAGAACAGTTACGTCGTTTTTGCCCACGGCGGCTTCCGCCCTTTGTTCAGGGCTGGTTGTCAAGCCACTGAAATCACGATCTGCGGCCGTGTGCAAAGGAATCGGTAGAGCTCTCATATCACAAGCCACCAGCCCTTGCATTTCTCCTTTTGAGCTAACACAGGTCTTGTTCTGGTTGAAAGTTTCGTTGCTGTTGTGATTCACACGGGTTGTTGGCTCGCGTCAAGGGTCGTGGAAAGATTTTGAGGAGCCTCCCCGGCCTCTGATTGCGCGACTTGTCTCTCCTCCAGGCGGACGGAATGCTGGACGCGTTTTTCGATACTCCGAGGCGGGGAAAGGGCATTTGAAGACAAGTTTTCCGTTCGTCCACAGCATCCCCAAGGCGTTGGAACACCTGCGCCGTCCATACTTGAAGCTTTGTGCAGTAGCTGCAAAGACGGTCTCGTTGTGACCTCTATCCTCGGGTTGCTTGAACGCGTTAGCCTTGAACCGAACACGGGGGGTGCTGATTGACGTTTCCTGTGCGTACGTACGCCTTCCTTGTTGGGGGGAAAACCCGACGTTATTCCCTGTTCCCGGCTCTGCGAGATGCACACAGGGCGGCGTACATTTGGTTGTGTTCGATGGCCCATGGCGTGGCAGAAAAGTGAGTAGAAAGAAGTGCGTACTCTCACACTGTCCGCGCGGCGTATGATCCCCCCACCCCAAGACCTGCTTTTTGCGGTCGTCGCCCCCAATAGTAGGCGCAGCGCTGTGGCTAGTGTCATCTGCGCTGGTTTTCGTGTGCGCGCGCGTCTCTCGGGGGGTCCTTTCATGAAAATGGTGTCGGGGGTTGGCTCACCACACGTCGGCGCGTCATTTTGTTTGTTGGTGTTCTCGTGGAGACGGCGCAAAAATTATGTAGGGAGGCGACGGGGTTGGGACAAGGAGGACACATCAATATTCGTTCTTGTGCGTTTCGATGAGCGTGACGTGACTGGTAGAAAAGGGAAAGTCACACCCTTGGCCAGGCGTGGGTATTTTTATCTCTTTGTCTGTTGCCGTGGAGATAGAACAGAGAAAGCAGAGGAATATTCGCGGGTTGTGTGTAAGTGGTCGAGAGAAAATGGTATTTTTCTGGTTCTTTAGTTCGGGACTGGATGTTGTGCAGTTTCCGAGCAGTTTGTTTCTGTTGGTGTGCGCGCGAAGCAATAAGTGTGCATACGAACGTGGCTTTTATATGTCTGCATGATTTACAACGTGGGGATGCAAGCGTCATGGGGGATTGTTTTAGCGGGAGCGTTTTTGACAGCGTCTCAATAGATTTAAACTTAACTAATCTGAATCGATTTCAAAGCCCTTTTTTCGGAGTGGCGTGTTGGGAAAAAGTTGGGTCTCTCTTGTGATGCTTGTCATCTTAGACATGCATGATCTCCGACCAACAGTGCATAGGAGAGAAAGCTGTCGCTCCGCGTCACGTTTTTTTTTGTTCTTGGCCAAAAGACGGGAGAGGGAAACGGGGTTGGTATTCAAATAGGGCTTTTACCGCTTTACAGTTGTTACAGATGAGGTTACGTTCGTTCGTGTCGTGTTTTCCTGGCACGCTTGTACTTGCTCGGATTTGGTTCTGTGTTTTTTTTTCGTGGTTAGACTGTGCAACTTGTTTTCACAACGAATATTTTGTCGCAACACCTTCCCTTTCTTCGTTTTTTTCGGTCGGCAGGGGTGAGAGCAGACAGCAGACAAGATATGTAAGCGTCACGCACCGGATTGTTTTGGTGGTTGTTGTTTTCCGTGGGTGTATTTTAAGGCCGGAGGTTTTGGAGGGGGCAGCTTTGGCGCGGGGGGGGGGGGGTTGTTCGGAAGTATCGCCTGCTAGCGTCTTGGCGTCGTCTTGCTATCCCTGTTCTCCTGTGGGACGGAAAACAGCATATTTACACGTAACTCAATCAAGAGAGGGCAATGCCTCTCCAAAGGCAACGGTTGCTTTCGGGAGACGCCGTCCTAAAATCTTGCGTATCTGGCATTAGTCCCGCTCGAACACAAGATGAGTATTTGGGTAAAAGCGTCGGATTGCCTGGAGTCGTTCACTGTATTTCTCTCACGCTTCCGGGGGTACGCAATTGGGACCTGTTTAATCTCTTCCGCTCCGATGCACGGGTCCTAGCCCAACAAACGCCCCCTGCCTCCCCGCGGGAGAGGGCACACAGCGGTAGAAGAACGAAACACGGAATGATGGGCACGACTCAAAAAGATTCTTTGCGTTTTTGATAGGGGAAGTCTATCCACAAAGGAGAGAAAGGAGGTGCAACTTGGAGAACATCTCCTGGTCGACCATGTATGGTGTTGACAATTCCCTTGAAGGCATTTCCCAGAGGCCTCGAATAAGATCACCACGTTCTTGGCAGGCGAAATATATTTTCCTCTCGAGAGTTCTGTTGTTCCGATCTGCCTGCCTGTCGGGGGTGGGTCAATCGATGAACCAGGAAAGCTTTCTTTGATTTTTTTACGGCGCCAACCAAACGCCTGAGCCCTGGAACACGGGTCACGTGTAGTACTTTTACGACAGCTCACGACAGCCAGTCCTGATGGGCCGGCCAAACAGGAAGTGCAAGCGACTTCAAGATGCTGGCATGACAACAATATGGCGGGGAGAGCTCAAGCACAAGTCTTGGAAGATATTTTTCATCTACGGTACGCACTGCAGGCAGGAAAGGTAGAGCACAAAAGCGCATTTCACGCTTTCAGCCGCACTGAGACTGACGTCATTTCATTGGTCACCGTTTAGCACGGTCGATGCCAATAATAAAAATACACGCACATGCTGCGGTCACACCTTCCGAAACGCGTCCTCGACAGTTGGAAGAGTGGTGCCCTCGTTCTGCTACAGTCCCTCCGGAAAAAAAAAAATCAATTCCGTCTATCTCGCTGCAAGCTCCAAGCTCGGCCAGATGGTGGCAGTGACGGTGGCGGCCTACCCAGAACCTCCTCGGTTGTACTGGTAACAGACAACAAGTGGGGTCATCTATCCGCAACTTGTCGCCGAACCGGAACCGTTCATTCCGCACCAGAAAATTCGCCGCGGAACGGGGGCTACGGGCTGTGCTTGGTGGTTCCGATCCCAGACACCACGCGTCATGCCGGCCTCCTCATTCTGGGTTTGCGATTCATCCCTTGCAGAAGAGAAGAGTCGGTATCTCTCGCGAACTGTCCCTGGAAGCTGTTTCCTTCCTTTGCATGGGCGTCGAACCTCCTTCGCGCTCTTCGCCAACAACCCCGAAACTCTTGGTGCTGCCCCTGCGCGATAGATGACAGCGAAGAGTGAGCCGAGCACCCGCCTCGCAGACGAAAGGGCAGCCGCTCCGAACAGAACCCTGCGGCAAAAGAGTAGAGCGCATAGAAAACAAGAAAACAAGCGGAGGATGTCAGAACTCCGTCTGAAATATTTCTTGTGTTCCATTCAAAGTGGAGAGCCCCACAACTGATGCCTAAAATAGTTACCAGGGCGGGTAGACCCCAAGTCTCGGCAGCGTGTCGTGACGGTTTCTGGATGATACACCAGCATTTCATCCGTAACCGCCCCTTCCAGCCACTGCTGTGGTATGCCCGTGCTCTCCGCTACACCCTGGGCATACAGTCGGTGTTGCTTCAGCCTCGCCAATACCGCGGCTGTCGGCAACGCTCTCAATTCTCCCAGCTTCGATACTACCCTTGGCGACTCTCTCAGCGTCGCTACTTGCCCATTCGGTGGATAAACAGGCATGCTGTCACCCAAAGAAATATTCGACGTTGCTGACGAAATGCCGCACTCGTTCGTAAGCACTGGGGAGACCCTGCTGCTGTGAAAACAAACCTGGTGTTGTGTTTGCTGGTTCACGCGAAGTCTGCGTCGTTGGAGTTGGGCGCAAAATCCAGTCCCTCGGGATACGCCTCTTCGAATCTGCCGACAACATCCTTCAGCCTCGCCTGTCCGTGTTGAGCGATAGAGGCGTGCAAGGACATCATGTCGTTTTGACACGGACGAACACAAATTTGAAAACGCTCTGGTGGCCACCAAGCGAGTGGATGGTGCGGCTTTTCGCGCATGCGAAACAAGATTTTCGCGCATGCGAAACAAGGATATGCAGCTTCGAATGATTGGCGATTAAATCCGTCCCGGGTTATGGTTCCCTTCTCCCTTCACTTGTGTCGACGGCCGACCCTCCGCCACGCCGAAACCAAGCCCGAAGCAGGGCTGTTTCCACGAACGCAAAAGAAGTCAGCAAAAAATTCAGGACAAAAAAGCAAACGCAAAACTACACTGGAAGGTGACATAACTAACACCGAGGTCTCGACAGCTCGTGCAAGGGCAATACACGCGCGCGCATAGAAGAAGAAGAAAGCGCGGAAGTCTTGCCTTGATTTGCTTGACGACCTTGAGCTGATTGGCGATCTGGTCGTCCGACACCCTCCTCCTCCCCTTCCCTTTCGCTCCCGCGGCTTTTCTCTTGGAGGGCGCAGGCGAACCCTTCTTCGCCGACGACCCACGAGGTTTCTTGGTAGCGGACGCTTTCTTCTTACCGTTGGCGGCACTCCCGCTGGTGTACACAACGGGCCCGCAGTTCAGAAATAGTCCAATAACAAGCAGAGAGAGGCAGGTTCAAATCTTCACGAAAAACAACAAAGTAGGGTTACGAATTATCAGCTCAGCGGTGGATCCTCAACTACACTCTAAAAAATTCTCGACAGCAGTAGCGATGAAACTTAGAAACTGAGCCTCGAGCCGATTTTGGCGATTCTTATCTCCGCGCCCGTTCTGTAGTAGTGGGTGCACGGGAACATATTCGACGAAAAACTCAAAGCTGTGCTAAAATCCAACTTCAGGTACAGCGCATATTCACGTTGAGGTTTTGTACAGAACGCGCCCGCACATGAGAACCCAGGAGTTAAGAAATTGAGCCAAAAAAAACTCGAAATTTGAGAACCACAGCGCCATTTGTAAGCTCGGTTAAGAACCCCTACACTTGTTATAAGGTACTGAGCGGAGACCGGAACGGTTATGAATGTGAAGACAACAACAACAACAACAACAACAACAACAACAACAACAACAGAAACAGCAGCAACAACAACAACAACAACAACAACAACAACAACAACAACAGAAACAGCAACAACAAACAACAACAA